TGTGCATGTGTTTGTGTACATGTTTGTGTTTATGTGCATGTGTTTACGTGCATGTGTTTATGTGCATGTGTTTATGTGCATGTGTTTGTGTACATGTTTATGTGCATGTGTGTGTGTGTATGTGTTTCTGTACTTGTTTGTGTTTATGAGCATGTGTTTGTGTACTTGTTTGTGTTTATGAGCATGTGTTTGTGTACTTGTTTGTGTTTATGTGCATGTGTTTGTGTACTTGTTTGTGTTTGTGAGCATGTGTTTGTGTACTTGTTTGTGTTTATGTGCATGTGTTTGTGTACTTGTTTGTGTTTGTGAGCATGTGTTTGTGTACATGTTTGTGTTTATGTGCATGTGTTTGTGTACTTGTTTGTGTTTGTGAGCATGTGTTTGTGTACTTGTTTGTGTTTATGTGCATGTGTTTGTGTACTTGTTTGTGTTTATGAGCATGTGTTTATGTGTTTGTGTACTTGTTTGTGTTTATGTGCATGTGTTTGTGTACTTGTTTGTGTTTATGAGCATGTGTTTGTGTACTTGTTTGTGTTTATGAGCATGTGTTTGCGTACTTGTTTGTGAGCATGTGTTTGTGTACTTGTTTGTGTTTATGTGCATGTGTTTGTGTACTTGTTTGTGTTTGTGAGCATGTGTTTGTGTACTTGTTTGTGTTTATGAGCATGTGTTTGTGTACTTGTTTGTGTTTATGTGCATGTGTTTGTTTACTTGTTTGTGTTTATGTGCATGTGTTTGTGTACTTGTTTGTGTTTATGTGCATGTGTTTGCGTACTTGTCGATGAAGTCGTCGGTGCTTTTCTTCTGGATGTTGTCGGCGTGTCGCAGAAGCCAGATGATCTCGTCTCGAGCGAACGATAACGCCATGAACACGAACAACGCCTGGCGGGAGAAACACAGAGATATGGAGGGAAATGGAAATGTCAAAAACTCATCAAGATAAATGATTCTGAGATAAATCACCAAGAGCTTCTGGAAGCTTTCTCTGAACCAAGCAGAGGAAGAGTGCTCAGTTATGAATTCATTAGGACTCCATCTGGCCAGAGGAACCACTGGGATCTTAAAAAGGAATACATCTGGGAAATATATGTAGATGTATTCAAGGAGGTACGCAGGACGTTATATCCGCTCAAAAGAGGTGAGGCCACAGGAAGAGAAATGTAAGAAGATCTGTAGGCGGTGTTACTCTCAGCCCATGTGACTCCCAAAGGGTTATTTCTTTGATCAACGGAAATTAAATTCCTCTCAAATCTGGAGAACTCCTTCTTTTCTCTCCTTTGTATCCCATTAAAGTCAGATCCTTGGTATTTGGGACCGTCAAAAGAAGGCATTTATTTACAAGAACTCTGACTATATTTCCTGACGTTTTATTCACCAAAATCTGAGAGAAAACTCTAGATCTGAAAATCATTTCAGAAATCCTAATTCTGCGATAAGTCAAAAATTAGAAAATATATTTCACATTTTTTTCTGAAAATCAAGACTTTCATCTCAGCTTTTGGGAAAAGTTAAAATCTGAGAACAAAATTCTAAACCAAGAAAAAATGTCAATATCTGAAAAAAATGCTTATAACAGAAATCTGGGAACAAAGTCAAACTGGTGGAAAGAAACAGATTTAAATATGTATTTCTACATTGTGTGTTACACAATTATGCGTTTTTCAGAAAATCTCCAAATTCAGACTTTATTTGGAAACTCAAGTTTTCTACCAAAATTCAATGTCCTTCCTTCAATTCTTTTTTTTTTAGAAAATATCAAAATTCAGATTTGGTTTGAAAATGTCACAATTCTGACTTTTTCAGATAATCTAAACAATTCTGACTTTTCCCCCAAAATTCGGACATTCCCCCCAAAATTCAGTTTTTTTTCTGTAAATACAGTATTTTTTTTTAAAAATACTGTATTTCTTTTCAAATCTGACTTTTCTAAAAATTCTGTATTTGTACTTTTGTTCTAATATTCTGTATTTTTTCTAAATATTCTGTATTTTTTCTAATATTCTGTATTTTTCTAAATATTTTGTGTTTTTTCTAATATTCTGACTTTTTTCTAATATTCTGTATTTTTTCTAATATTCCGTATTTTTTCTAATATTCTGACTTTTTTCTAATATTCTGTATTTTTTCTAAATATTCTGTATTTTTTGGAATATTCTGACTTGTTTCTAATATTCTGTATTTGTTCTAATATTCTGACTTGTTTCTAATATTCCATATTTGTTCTAATATTCTGTATTTTTTCTAATATTCTGTATTTGTTCTAATATTCTGACTTGTTTCTAATATTCTGTATTTTTCTAATATTCTGTATTTGTTCTAATATTCGGACTTGTTTCTAATATTCTGACTTGTCTCTAATATTCTGACTTGTTTCTAATATTCTGACTTGTTTCTAATATTCTGTATTTGTTCTAATATTCTGACTTGTCTCTAATATTCCGT